TATTGTATTTTTATTTAGTTAGTTAAAAATTTCCCAATTACACTTCAATTGTTTAGATCTTATTCTCTGACTTCTGCTCTGCAGGGCTTCTTAAACTTTTTCCAAAGGTGACCCCTTCAGCATTTCTTGAACTGTGAGTCAAGACCCCTTATGGGTCACTTTTTATGTCATACAAGAGAAGCTGCCAATATTAGAGGCAATGTGGTGTTATAGATTGATCACTGACTTGGAGTCAGGAAGACTTGAGTTCAAATCCTACCTCTGCTATGTGACAATAGGCAAAAATCACTTAACCTCTTAGTTACCTCATCGGCAAAGTGGTGATAATAATACCTCTAAGGACACTGTCACAGATTTATGGGAGGACATGGAGAAGAATCACACAGAAAAGGAGACATGAATAGGTTATGATTTGCCGCACTGAAGGGAATATACAAATCAGTGAGGTCATAGATCCATTGAAGTATTAGAGTACCCACCTCACAGAGTTGTCATGAGACTCAAATGGTGGCCCAGTGATAGAAATCTGGCCTTAGATACTTACTGCATGATCCTAAGCAAGTCACTTAACCTCTTTTTGCTTCAATTTCCTCATCAACAAAATGGAGATAATAATAGCACCTATCTCCCAGAGTTGTTATGGGGATCTAATCAGACTACATTTGTCAAGTACCTGGCATATAATAGGTATTTACTAAATATAAGATATTATTACATGATATAATATATGTCAATACTTTGTAAACTTGAAAATATATATAAATCTCAGTTATTATTAGTAATACACTTAAAATTTAATGAATATCATTCTGTAATTTTTTTAAGGTCTTATACTCTACAATGGTTCATTGATAACTGATTCTTGGTAAAATTACAATAAACCTTTGATAATAATTACAGAAAATTCTAGCTGAATCAAGTTTAGTTTTTTTTTTCTTTTTTGTTTTTTGGTGAGGCAATGGGGTTAATGACTTGCCCAAGGTCACACAGCTAGTGAGTATAATGTGTCTGAGGTCACATTTGAACTCAGGTCCCCCTTACTCCAACGTCGGTTCTCTATCCACTGTGCCACCTAGATGTCCCTTCAAATTTAGTTTTTAAAACTTAAAAGTTTTGATTTCTATGCAAAGAATGTTGTCTAGAGAGTTGTTTGAAATTGTACTTTTTCCCTTTTATGAAACTCCATAAATCTGTACTAAATGACTTTCTGAATATTTTATCTCAGTAGTCAATCTAAACTCTTGCTATATTAACTACTAAAAGGCCATTCCCATTAAAACTATGACAAGCATTCGTAAAATGTCCTAATGATACTCAAGGTAACAGAGCAAGGAATTAAAACGTCACGTAGGCAAACATACACCTAGAACTTAGCCACCACTACGTATGCCAGCATCAAGTATTCCCTTATTTTTTCCCCACCAACATTTGAAAGAGACCTTAGAGATCATCTAGTGATTAGATTCTAGTCCAACCTACTTGATTTACAGATAAGGAAAATGAATCCTGGATAGGTGAAGTGACTGTTTGAAGTGATTCATCTAATTAAGTGTCAGCAAACAAGGACCTAAGTCTCCCAATATTATGTGGTCTGTTATTCTTTTCATCATATCGCAACTAAAATCATGCTAAAAAAATAAAAGGAACTTTTTCTGTATAGGAAACAACTCATGGGCAATTTCTGGCCAGAAAACAAACAAACAAAGATAGAAGCATATCACAAAGCCTTCTAAGAGATTCCCATTGTCTCTGCTTCCACCTCCTTTACTAAGATAAGCCACCAGCTTTTCCAGAAGTCTACTCCCACACATGCTACCTCTTATGGGAGTACATTTCCGTGGCCTTCTCCCATCTGCCTTACCATACTGTTCATTAGTGGTAAACATGCTTTTAGTTTTGGGGCTTACAAAATAGTGATATAGTATACTCTGTACTGTTAAAATAGCCTTAGGATTCTTTAAAAAAAGTTGAGACTGCTTGATTTCTAACTCTCTAATTCTATGATTTACTGAGATGATAATATTCGAGAATATAAGTTGTTTCCTCTGAGACAAGCATAGTAAAATATAAATATAAAAAATGGGTTAAGCATTATTGTAAAAACAAAATTTACATTATTTCTTAGAAAAATGTTCAAGTGTTATGCATCCATTCATCATTGTATATTTTACAGATAAGTGCTCCAGACAGAAAAAGAGCAAGGTCTGGAATTTTGTTGAAGGAGAATAGGTTGCACCTCATTGGTAAATTTGCACTGTACTTTCAAAAACCCTGAACTATTTCCTGCCACAAAAGCCACAGTCTTAGCACCAGCAGTCTCCTAGTGATGCTAAATGATTACAAATAGTGGAACATGATCTTGGAAGAATTAAAATTACACTTAACCTGAAGGGCATTGAAAGATGTGTAATTGATTTAAATTGGCTTCAACAATGACTTTCACAAGAAGAGTGACATAAAGGATATCATTAAGAGCAGAAAGTAGTGGATCAGCTAGTTATTGAATTAAATTGAATTGCCTTAGGAAGTCACAAAACCATGCTGATGGAGTCCACTACCAGTGCATATTATCTAAGCTTGGTTGAGTCCTCAATGCTCCCAGAAGTCTGTTTCTAACTTTTTTTAAAATTAGGTCCCATGGTCACACCCATCTATGTCTTTTTAGATCATCTTCCCTTGTACTTGAGAAAAATAAGAAAATTGGTCATAAAGTCAGTTATCTTCCTATTTCATACCTTTAAACCCCTCCATATTGCCTCTCTTCCTTTTCTGCAGTCTTTGAGGAAGAGGTGGCCCTTCTTTCCAAGACTAACTCTTCTATTGTGCTGATGCTCTTTCCCTCTTTTAATTATTAAAAAGTTTTTTATTTGATAGGGCATAATGCTGTCTTAAAGGCTCTCAAACAACAAGGGACCTCTCATGTACCTGTATGAATTATACAAGATTCCTTGGAAGATGTAATAGACCATTTTTAAACTTTTTTTTGACAATATACTATTTAATGACCCTTTGATCATTAATATCAAACAAGGCATATGTTTGCCAAATGTTAGTATCCTTGTAATGTCAAGGGAACTCAAGGATGGGCCCCCAGCAGGTTTGGTAGACTCTCTATGGGGGATATAAACAAGAGTTTTTACAGGATTGCATGCATGGATGTGTCATAATCTGCATTTTTGGAGGAAATGCATCGATCAAAGATCATTGAATCAGAGAGTTAGAGGAGGAAGAGACTTTTGAAGTCAGCCTTCTAGCTTGAGTTCTCTGGATCTCAGATTTCTTATCTGAAAAAGCTCAAGCTCTCTGATTCTATAATTCTTCTTATGTCTATCATGTGTTTCTCCATTTCCAGTTGGTTGTCTGATAGCCAACCTAATAAGCTCTTAGGAAAGAAATGTATTGAATTGAATGAATTGTTGACTTGGCAAAGTCTCATAGTCTCATAGTTTAATGATACAAATACCAAAAAAAAAGTCATTCAGGGACCTTAGAATAGTAAAGTTGGGCCTCCCCAGTTTTCCTCCAACTTTCCCAGGTTTCAATCTCAATCTTGCTCTGGTCACTCAGCGCTTCCAATAAATAATATAGCTCTGTAAAGCCATAATTATATACTGGTTACTTTTGTATATGTTACTTTCAATATTTTTTTTCTGGCCTCCATTCTATATCTACTCAGAATATAAACTCATTGAGGGCAAGGGTCCCACTCCCAAGGAACCTAACAGTGTTCTGCACAAGATGGGTGCACAACATCTGTGGAAACTACCTTTCCTTTCATAAACCTTAAAGGGCTACAAAAATGAGAGTTATTCTAATCACCATTCACACAGACACTACCCTTATTCAAGCCCTCAATGCCTCTTAACTGGACTACAGTTAATATGAACTTGTTTAGAAATATTTTGATAACTGTATTTCAATAAATTGGTTTCCTTTGTCATCTTATATATTTTGTTTTATGCATTTTAAATTATTCAGAAATGGGATCCATAGATTTTACCAGGCTACCAAAGTGGTCTGAGGACACAAAAAAGATTAAGAAGCCCTGGCACAGGACGACCATCTCCACTCTTGAAACTCCTAGCTCCTTTCAATGTTCAGTTTAAGTGCTGCTACCTTCAAAATACCTTGATTGCCACAGTTCTTAATGCAACATCCTCCTCTCTCACACTTTATTAATTTTGTTTAAAAACAAGATTTGCTTCTTAGTATGTTCTATCACCCTAGAAGGATGTAACCTGCCTGAGGGCAAGGATTCTCTCACTTCTGTCTTTGTATGGATTACACTTAGCACAGTTTCTGGCATTATAACAGAAAATAAATGTTTGTTCATTGATTTTTCTTCCTATCTCTAGAGCTACTGTTTGACTTCTTATCTATGAGTCACAGGTATCTGGCACTTTAATCTTCTGTCTAGGTGCTCAAGAACATGACTGTTTTCACTCAGTATCCACTGTAGGTGGTAGGTGGTAAGGTGCAATGCACTTAATAAATGCTTGATTCATTTGTATACCTGTCTTAACGCCCTACCAGGATCACAGATTTAGATCTGGAAGGGACGATGAAAGCCTTACACCAACTCCTTTATTTTACAGCTGAGGAAATTGAGGCCCAGATAAGTTTAGTGATAATTCTGCCACCTCTAGTCCTCCAAGTCCCCAAGAGCTGGGACTTGAGTAAGGTCAAGGCTCAGTGCTTTGTTTTGCTCATCTTTGCGTCTATGGGCTGCACACAGCAGGTGCTTAAAAGGAGGCAGGAGGAAGTGGGCGGAATTATCTGCTGCGCTCCGTCACCAGGCAGTTGGTGTCACTCAAGGTGGGATTAAGGAACCCCCGCCAGCGTGCGGGGAGAGCGGAGAAGAGCAGACCACTAGGGTTATCTTCCCGCCCGCATTCTCCCAAATCCCCTTCTCATCCCTATCCTCATCCTCCCTCCTGCTCTTCCAGCCATTGCCCGCCAACTAAGAGGTGACATCACTTCGCGGCCGGGAGTGTACTAACATGCTCCAGCGAGCGGCGGCTGCTAGGGACCCGGAAGTGGAAGCGACTGCGGGCAGGCACCCCAAAGACAGGCGGCTGCCGAACTTCTCGCACCACTCCCAAACGGTATCGAACCTACTGAGCCTGCGTCATCTTGACTGTTTGCGCAAGCGCAGTCAGCTCCACGAAACCTCTGCAAGATTCTAGAAAAACGAGCGGCTCCGAAGCCTTTTTCTTTGGAGCTGGAGTTAACGTGGGCGGGTGAAGGAAGGAAGGAGGAAGGTGCGGAAGAGCTTTGAAATTGGGCGAGGGCGGGCTTGGTGCAGCAGCGAGGAGGGGCTGGCGAGCAGCGGCTTCCTCTGCAGCGGTTCTGTGGGTGGATTGCGGGTGGGGGGATGGGGGTCTGAGCCAGTCTAGAGTGCGGACCTTGGGGAGAGCATGGTCGAGAGGGAGGGAGTCAGATGACCAGACCGGCGCTGGCTTTGTGGAATTTCTGCTCATTTGCGAGTACCGCCGCCTGGAGCTACTAGTGGCCATGAGGTGCTGTACTCTGACCCCCTCGGATGATTCACAAGAACCCTTATACGTACAGGGTGCTTGCCCTTCAAGGCATCAGCCCTGTAGTTAGAGAAGGAAAAAAAAACAGGCGCAAATGTATCTATTGAAGAATAATACAACTAGACAGGATGTAATTAAATGATTAATTGGCGTGGTGCAGAAATTAAGTTTAATAGGAATTCGTTAAAGGAGAGTGAAGTGTGGGCTGCCGTAGTTCGGGCTCCACCAAAGTACTTTGCAGCTTCGAAATGCTGTGATTTTGCGCGTTGGCTTTATAAGATAGGTGGGAATTGAGCTGGCCCCTGTTGAACTTTTGAAAAAGAAGCAGAAAGGAGAGAAGACTGTGGTAATGGGACCTAATGATGACTTAAGATTTATACAGCGTTTTAAGGTTTGCGGTTTTAAGGGAAAGGGAAAGAATAAAGATTTATGTAGCATCAACTATGTGTCCAGCACTATGCTAAGCACTTTTAACAGATATCTCATTTGATCCTCAACCCTGTGAGTTAGGTGCAATCGTTATTCCCATTTTATAGTTGAGGAAATTGAGGCAAAGAGATTGACTGCCCAGGGTCATACAGCTAGTAAGTGCATGAAGATGGATTTGAACTCTGGACTTTGGAAGTGGGGGTGCCTCTACCTACTAACCACTTAAGTGCCTCAGTTCGGATTCCTGATTGTTCAGTTCCCGCTGAACAGAGGTAGTAAAGAGGTAGTGCACAGTGTTCACTGATCTCATAGCAGTTTGGCTTATAGTAGTAGGCCCTTAATAAATACTTCTTGATTGAGTGATTGATGGGGAAATCGAGGATACTGGTCCATCTGGTGCAGAGGGTTCACATATGGCCATGGAAGTAGAAGTACGTAGGGATCCAGAGAAATCTGATGCTAGCAGTAGGTGTGTCTTTAAAGGAGTGGAATTTTCCCTTCATTTGCCTCCACTGACATTCTCCTCTCTTAATGAAGAGATTCATTCCAGAAATACACTTCATTATCAGCACCTTTGTTGTTAGAAATAGAGGTAAAAGGCAAAAGAGGCATAGAGATGTGCTCAATTTGCCACAGGAGACAGCATACCTCTACTTTCTCAGCTGCTGCCACCAACCCCTACTGAGTTTGAGACTTCCTCTTTTCCTGGCAGCCTCCAAATGCCCTGCATACTAAGACTGTCTGGCCTCTGCAGATTATAGAAATAAAAACCAAAGGAGCAAATAAAACAGACCCCACAGTGTACTCCATTATATAAGACATCCATTCTCAGAGCCTCATGCAAACTGCTGAATTTGGAGTTGTAGGACCTTAGTTCAAATTCAATTCTGCCACTTGCTGCAAGCCAGTGTGACCTCTTTGGGCTTCAGTTCACTTGCAAAATGACAAAGGTAACTAGATGACCTCTAGGATTGCTTCCAGCTCTAAATTTATGATCCTATGATACTTATCCCTTGCTTTATGTTGCCATTATTGGTTTCTTGCTTATTATGTGCTTTATGTAATTATCGTGTTGAATGTTCTAATTGTTTAATGGGCATAAATCTTATCTCCCTAATAGGATTGTAAATCTTGAGGCACAGAATAAATACTTGTTGATTTAACTTTTTTATGAATCTTAATTTTGTCAAACTTCCCCCCAAATTATAACCTTTTGGAGAACAGGAACTTAGCTTACTATTTCTTTCCAACTTCTCTGCTCCCTCTGGACAGTAGCATAACAATTTGCATATGCCAGGGACTCAACAAATATTTGACTGGGTGGGTTTCCAGCTGCGGAAATCTAACCTCCCAGTTGCCCTACAAAGAATTGTCACCTATCCACCACGTCCTCAAGAAGTCTGTCAATAAACATTTGTTGACTGATTGATTGTCGGCAAAGAAATCCTCCACTGTTCTCTGTAGTTGTAGATTTGCTTCTCCAGGAATGAATGCTTCTCATTGTCCTTCTGACTTGTCTGGCAGCTCACGGCTAAGAAATCCTCTAGATACTAACGTGGGTGCTTGGGTCAGATTTTCGGAAGCAAAAAAAGACACCTAGGTGTATTTAGAGTCCCCCTTTTTATATTTTCATACCTACTATGAGTGCACTTGGGAAAGAGAATGTGAGTGTACAGGGCTTTTAATTATTTCTAACTTTACATTCAGCACTCCTTTAATGCTAATGTGAGCAGTACTTGAAAAAATGTGCCAGTCATCTGCCCTGAAAGAAGATGATCCAGTTCTTAAAAACTCCACCTCCAGTCTCCCCTTTCCCACATCCCCAAACCTTCAAAACCTGCAAGAAAACCAAACCTCGGTGTTTGTGGACCACACCTGTGCCTTCGGGGGGGGGGCTAAAAGTGAACAGTCCCCTCCCTCCGCCCCCGCACTCCCCCCTCCCCCGGTCTACAGTCTGCCACTCAACAACAGAAACTCAAACTGGTGAAAGAAATGGGTAAAGTTTGATAAATGCACTCGAGAAACCCAAGCTAAATCCTTTCACTTCTGGTTGTAAAGTTTCCCTGACAATTTCAAATTTTCTTGTTTCTGTTTCTCCAACTGACTTTCACTAGCAGCCGCCTTTCCCTTAATCCAGTCCTTCAAAGCCCCAAAGTCGGCTGGGGTTAGTGGGGTGGGGGAGGTCTTCCTTCCTTCCTTTCCCTAACGTCCCCGCCCCACTTTTGTGCGTGGCTAAACCCCAGAGGGAAAGATCCCTTCAAAGAGCACCACTCTCCGCATCTCACCCCACCCCCTTCCTTCGGCCACGCCTCTGGGAGGAGGAAGGGGGAGGGTTGTACTGTGAGGCTGCCTCACCGAGCATGCGCCGGCAGGTCCGCGCCTGCGCCCTGGGCGGGGAGGGCGGCAGGAGGGGGTGGGGCGCGGCGTGAATTGGTGCCCGAGTGAGTGAGGGGAGGGAGCCGGGGGGAGGGGGGAGCAGGGAGCAGGTTTCCGAGGCGGCCAGCGCGAGCGTGGTACTACAAGCTCGAGGCCGGAGGGGGCGGGGGGATGCGCGGCGGCGGCGGCGGCGGCGGCGGCGGCAGCGGCGCCGGCGTTGGCGCTGTTGCCCGGTGGTTGGAGGCGCCAGAGCAGCGGCCCCAGGTTCCGACGCGGCGGCCGCGCCGAGTGTCGTGCGCGGCCTGAAGGCACTTCGCTCGCTCTCCCCCCCTCTCGCCTCCACCCCCTCTCCTTTAAAAAAAAATTACCGGAACCAATGAGCGGGGCCCGGACCCGAGCTCCCGAGGCCGCCGATGCCCGAGGGACCAGGATATCTGCGGGCGAGAGCCCGAGGCGGCGGGGGCGGCCCCAGGAGCCGCCGCCGCCGTGGCTGTGGCCAGCGGCCGCCTCCCAGCCGCCTCGCCTCCATCCCCTGTGCCCCGGGGCTCCGGCCCCGGGCTGGACCGCGCTGCTGGTGCTGGGCTTGCTGGCGGCCCGAGCGGCGGACGGATGCGAGCTGGTGCCCGGGAGCCTTCGCGGGAGAAGGACGTCGTTGGCTGGAGCCGCCGCCGCAGCCGCTGCTGCCTCCACAGGGGAGAGCCCGGCCGTGGTGACAGGTGAGGCGGGGGTGGGGGTGCGGGAGCGTCACGGGCGAGGGCGACGACCCGTCACCCCCGAGATCGGGGGTCTGCGCAGGGGCGGGGGCGGACCGGCAGAGCGGCGGATGGCCGGCGCTGCCCGCGGAGCAGGTAAAGGCATCGGGAGCCTTTGCAAATTCTCGGGAGTGCCCCCGCCTCGTATTCACAACTCTGCACTAAACCTCGACTTGGGGTGAGCCTCTCTTCCTGCTTCTGCGCCTCCCCAAAGTTCCCGGGTGAGCTCTTCCTCGCTGCAGTCAGCCAAGGCTGCGGGGGACTGGGGTGAATTGTCTTTTAGGGATAAGGTTGGAGAAAGTCAGCAGCAGCAGCAACAGCAGCATTGCGGTATTGAGGCTGCCCCCGGTGCTGCCTTTGCGAAGGCTTCCCTGGCAATGACTCGCACCCTTTCAAGTCCGTGCTAAGCAGAATATCCCTGGGGACACTGCTGAAGAGGCTTGGAATACGTAGTAACGGTTTAATATTTGCTCGGGGAAGCCTTTAGCTTTCTGTAGGGGAGCGTAATTATTTTGTGAGTGAGCAGCACCATTGAGAGAAAGATAGTGTTGAAGACAGACTCCAGGCAAGTACCAAGATATTTACCATCATTTATCATGTACAGGGCACTCAGTACTGGCTTGCATTTTGTGAGAACTGTGATTGTGGACCTAGTTGTAGCATTTCTTAACAGATGAGAAATGTTCTTAATTATTGAAAGATTTCTTGCCCTAATGTTTGCTAAGTAAGATTTCGCATTTTATTTAGGCCTTTGGTTGTCATTTGTATCTAATGGCTTGTACCATGAACATCATTGAGCTGATTTCTTTCGGTAACTAGTTGTAGAAATTAGTGTTTGTTTATCTAGGTTGTACATTTGAGTTTGGTGTTTATATGAGAAGCAACTTCTCTAGGATGATTAGTTTAAAAAAAAAGTAGTACGATAAAGTAAAATGGCACCAGTGTAGCAGGAACACCCATTATTTCTCTAGCTAAAGTGACGTTCCAACAGGAGTCCAGAAGTTACTAATAGGGATGCTCGGAGAACTGATTTTGGAAGCCAGTTGCTTCAGAGAGAAGCAGAGTCTGTAGTTTCACTGAAAGGATGGTTATTGTACAGGAGAACCTATTTGGCTAGAAAACTAAACTCGATCTTAGGTTTTACTAAGTAGGGAATGCAATGAATGAGAAGTTATATAATGTC